ATCGTGATCATAGATAAAGGGCAGAGGAAAGCCGTTGTAGTGGATGTAGCGGTCCCAAGTGATGGAAACATCAGAAAGAAGGAACACGAGAAACTCGAGAAATACCAAGGGCTCAGAGAGGAGCTGGAGAGAGCCTGGAAGGTAAAGGTGACAGTCGTGCCTGTGGTGGTCGGAGCACTTGGGGCAGTGACCCCCAAACTAGATGAGTGGTTGCAACAGATCCCGGGAACAACATCGGACATCTCAGTCCAGAAATGTGCAGTGCTGGGAACAGCAAGGATACTGCGCAGAACCCTCAAGCTTCCTGGCCTCTGATAGAGGACCCGAGCTGAATGGGGGATGGACACCACCCGAGGGGTGAGACGAGGATTTTTTTTTATATATATATTTCAACATATGTAGACTGTATTTAATTATTATTTGTAATTATTTTAATATATTTATTTATTTATTGTTTGTTTATTTCAATATAACTGTATATGTAATTATTTTGCTCTTGAATTATTGCACTGTTTATTTAATTTTGGAACTATTGTTTCCCTATAAGTCATAAAATCATTTTCTCTCCTTCTGTCACATCAAACTCAGTTGTACTCGTCGTCTGAGTCCAGCTGTTACTCTTTGAAGCGAAAGTCAACCCCAAAAATTTCTTGACAAAAATATGTTCTATGAAGTCCCACTGGTCTAAATACAGCATTTTGATTAACATTGTGTTTGTGGAATATATGAGTTGAGCAGAAGAATTGAGCTGTTTTTGTCCATCTCGGTTGGGGGTGCGGCCATTTTGCCACTCTCTGTCAACTGAAAATGACATCACAGGGTTCAGGTGACGATCAATCATGGCTCTGCTTCAGAAAACAGGTGAACCACGACTGGTCATTATCAGAGCCCTGAGCAACTGTGAGGTCATTTTTCAGCCGACTGCAGTGGCAAAATGGCCGCCCCTTGAGATGGATAAAAACGAGTGGATTTTGCTGCTTAACTCATATTCTATGAGTGCAATAACAACCATAATGTAGTTTTTAGACTAGTGAAAGTGCAAAGAACATATTATTGTTAAGAAAATGCTGAGGTTGACTTTAAGGCCTGCCACAAAATCCATGGCTAATATCAAGAAATGTGTTGATACACTTCTGGCGAAGGTTACCCTCCATCAGATTACATCATCAGTCTGAATGAGGGTTTTATTTCCTTGTCACATTAAATAACTAAGACTGTTGATCAAGTTGCTGTGCCTGCCCCAAAGCCTGGACAATTTCATCGTGACAAAAATTAGAATGAAGTTACCCGCTTAAGTCCCTCACCAGTCCTCACTTAGTTTAACTCATGCTATGTAAGTTTATGTTGGCATAGTATGACCCAATTCTTGTACACAGTTATTTCTTGACGGATTTCTGATGTCCCCAATACAGTGATCCCTCGCTTATCGCGGTTAATGGGGACCAGAACCCCCCGCGAAAGAGGAAAATCCGCGAAGTAGGTACCCCTCCCTGTACAGGTAGATGTACATGTGTATGAGTATATATAATATTTATAAGGCCGAATTTAATGGTATACATGCATGTAGAAGTAAATGTTTGTAGTAATTAACATTACTTAATGCTATATATTAATATAACATGTATAAGATGTATAAGTTTGGTTAGGTTAGTGTATAAATAACAAAATACAGTCAACATAAACATGAAATATACATGTAGTTCTGTATATGTTGCTCTATGTGACTCGCTGTTGTTTTGCTGACTTTTGTTGTCTCTCACCGACCTTTTGCGGCATTTTCGCTATTTTTTTTTTAATGAATATTTGTGAAAAATCCGTGTTGCACTGATTCCGCAGTCAGTGAATCACGAAGTAGCGATGGATCACTGTATACCTTTGAAAAGTAGATACAAGTGATACTTCAAAGGATACATAATGCTAGTTGAGCTACGATTAAATTGTCTTTCAAAATAAAATTTACCGTTGAGATCACTTATATTATTAGACCCCTAACTGCCACCATCATAAAACTGTACTGGCCAAAAGTGAAGTAAAGTTTTCACATTCAATTCAATCATTCTATCATTTATCACTCAAAAGCAATTATACTCTCTTGAAAAAAAAAAAACTGTGCCTTTATTATAAAATAAGCCGAGTCTTTTGCTGCACACCAATGACTTGATATCAGGTCATGTATGATGACGATTCTAGCACCATATTTTTCAACATTTGTGTCCAAGTTGTCAAACTTTTGAAGCCTTTGAACCTCGAGGTACCACTCGATACACATGAGTCATGTTTTTGAGTGTTCTTCTACTCCTCTCCCAGTTCAAATGTTGCGGCGTGACGAATAAAACCGACTGGTATGAAGTACTCAATGGAACGCTGCCATCGTCCTGCTGCTCCGTCGGGATTGACCAATGCACTGATGGATGGAGTGAGGTTAGTTTCATGCTCACTCATTTACACGGCGGTGGAGCCTGATAAGTTTCCATCCCGTTGTTGCCATCGTGTCAATAAAATGCATTGTGCTGGTTGAACAGAATACGCTATGCCTTCAACTTGCCGGCAATCAGCCGTCAGACCGCACAAAAGCTCATTCCAAATTACCCTTTGAGTTGGTATTTTCCAAATAGTTTATAGTCGTGGTCTGCTTTAGCACAACACAATGTTCATTCTGCAACTAAAACACAGAACAATCCAGTCAAACCTATAAAGTTGAACACAATCCATTCCAAGAAGGTGGTCAACATCTGTTTTGTTCAAATCTCGCTTCTGTCAGAGGGATTAATGGGATTCATCCACTCCATGGCCGTGCTTGAGGCTTCAAATTGTACGTCCGTTTAGTTCTTATGTAATGTCTCACTGTTGTCCAAGACATTTTTACTTTCCTACTTGGGATTATTAACACAGATCAATAGAACTTTCAAAATCTATAAAACTGCTGTATGCTGTGAGCTGGCGTGTTCTTGCTACAATCACATTATGGAACACATTTTTTTTGTTGAGTTCAGTCTGACAGCTGTTTTTAACAAATTTGTGGAATGCGGAAATCCACAATTTATCTCAGTATTTCTCTGTCATGTAAAGATTTTGATCTATAAGTTTTCTTCAAAAATAAAAAAATGAATGTGCATGGATGCAAATAAAACCCTAAGAGTATAAAACAAAATAGAACTTACGAGATGCCAATGGTACGGAGCCCCAAAGCCATAAGGTGACATGCAAGAAAAAAAAACAACTTTGCGTTCCTTTGTAAAGATTACGAGGTAACGCAAACTTTTTTCTTTCTTTTTTTTTTTTTATTTGCAAGGGGTCATCTTCTGGGTAACTGAAAACAACAAATGTGGAGCGTTTTCACCCGTTGGCCAGTTTAATGGATTTTTACTTTGAAATTAGCTTGAAATACAAAGACATAAAATCTTTTCATGAGTTTAAATACGGTTTCCAAGTCCTCCTCCATGATACTCTTTCCCTGAAGTCTTGTTGTCCCTCAATCATCCGCGCATAAGAGTCTATGTTAGCCAAGCTGACCTGGAAGTACATAAACGCGCATTTTTAAAAAAGCGTCTACATTATCTTGTAATCTTTGCGAGGAAGCTTTTTTCCCTTCCATGTCACTTTAGGGGCTCTGTACATGGTTAAGAGAAGAGGGGACTAATCCTCCTAATTCCTACTATGTTACTTTTCTGTTAGCACATACAGTATTGATAGCACTGACCTATTGGAAGCTGCACACACCTCTCATTGCACAAATTGTAACTGCACAAACAGTGTCACTAGGATGCACAGTAGATGTGTCTAATCATGATAAGATAGTAAGTCTTACTACAGCTAATTTGTGGAATGTTGCTTTTCTGGTCTGATGTGGAGAGAAAAACGACATGCTCGGAAAAAGAAACAATTGAAATGTTGGAATCAGCACGCTTTTATCAGTTTTAATCAGCATAAAATTGTAACGCAACAGACACCCATCCCCCCCGCCTTTCACCCGTGTTATCAAACTATACTTAACTCTAGTTGCACATTTAAATGCACTAGCTCAAAAATGACTGACAGCTGCCACAGGGGACACCAATGTTGGTTATTTTTTTTCCATCAAAACATAAACCGACCACAACTTCCAATGGGTCTGGCCTTTGCATGGAATATATCTAAACTAATTTCTATCATCTCCACTAATCCGGTTGAAATGACAAGTTGTTTCTCATAAGTGTATCAAAATCAATTGTTTCTACATTCCCAGCAGAGAGCAGAAGATACTGCAGTCAGAGAGCTTTGTGTGGCTGCCAGTGACTTACTGTGTAACCACAACAGCCTGCTGCTGTTCATTGTGTCATACTGTGGACTCTGGTTGCCATAGCAACCATTCTATTCAATCTCAGTTTAGTGAACATTATATCCTCCCTGATACCTGAGACAATCGCTGATGTATGCCTTTTTATTTTTTATAGTGTAGTCTTATACTCAAATAATCCAGGCAAAGTGGACTGGTTTATTCATGATGCATGTTTTGAAAGAACTCCAGTCTATCAGCATAAACAGGTGTCTAAATCAGTAAAAGGTCTTCACAGATAAATACATACTCTATGTCATCCAAACGTGAATGTGAACTACTGCAAGCGTAGTCAGCCCCTTGATGTATCAAGCATGCAATTGGGCAGTGTGCTTGTATGTTTATTGACTTTTTTTTTTCTGTGAAAGCATATATTCATCCCATGTGGGACAGATTAACAACATATTGCATGCATTATTAGAGTGAATTTCCCAAGGGGTCCTTAAACCGGCACGCATTGTTTTGCAATGCCACCCAGATGTGTTTTATATAATTTCAATGATTCCTAGTAGGGCAAAAAAACAAAAAACAAAAAACAAAAACCTGCGAAAAAAATCACACAAGGGCAGTTAGCAATTTCCTTGTACAGTGATGTCACTTCCTGTCCTTGGTCCATGTGGAGCAGTGAACGACACTGCTGAATGTGTCTTTCTATTTATGGCAGGACAAAGCTCAACATGCTTATTTCCTTGTTTTCTGGACAATATTCTTTTGCGATTTAAGGAATAACTACCGGTAATACATTTGTTCGTGTCCAATTACATGTTTGTTTTTTTTGTATAGGAAGATAAATAATTGGGCATTTGAAAGCTGTATGCAATGCAGTTGAGTGCAACAACCGCGTGGAGACATTGTAGAAATGGTTCAGAATAACAGGTCAATAATGCAATTAATATAAAATAAACAAATAATCCAATTCAGTCATGCCGTTTCTCAACTCAACTCAACTGTATTTATCCAGCACTTTAAAACAACCACCCCTGTATACAAAGTGCTGTACATGGAGCAAATATCATAAACTGTACGCAACAATAAACAATACCTTAAATAATTTGGTGTACAAATGGACCAGTGGACACGTTATTAACATGACTGTCAAGAAACTTGAGGAGGTGACGCCAATTGCAGTTCAAACAACTCTTAAGTGGCAAAGATAAAAGAAAAAAAATACAGGAAATTATTTTATTGTAAATTTACATAGACTAGAGATGTGATGTTTGTTATGACATTTTACTTTGTAGTCATAAAGGCATGAAATACATAATTCGAACACAATGCAGGACTGATTAAGGAAATATTTTAAGTCCACATTACAACTCTTTTTTTTTTAAATGATTCCAGACACATTCAGCAGTTCCAGAAACACAATATGTTCTGTTTAAAAAAACATTTTTTTAACATCTTGAGATAAACAATGTTCTCTTCTTGTCCCATACCTGTGTCTTTTTTGCAGCCTTGTTACCAAAAGGCCAGGCAGTGGCTTCTGGATAACATTCCATCGGTTCTGGTGTTTGGCGTGTGTATTGGCGTTGTGCAGGTAGTTCTTGACAAACATATTTTTCCACAGCAGTGAATTTTAAAGTGCAAGTCAAGTCCAAAAATTTCTTTGCAATATGATCCATGTGTCTAAACACGGCGATGTCACGGCTCACCTGTTTTCTGGGTTTGGTCACGTGATCTTCACAAAAAAAAAAAAAAAATGTTATCCTTATTGGATATTTTCATGCCTTAAAGTACAAGATGACGATTTTGAAAGAAAGCCTTGATCACATTTTTTTTCACCATACCAAACTCTCTTCTCCCATCAGATCTTGGCCCTGGTGTTCTCCATGCTGATGTACTGCCAAATCATGTGTGCTGAGAAGTATTTGGACTGAGTGTGGAATTGCTGATAATGGTGGGGCACCATTCAAGATGCCAAATTACGGTTCCACTGCCAAACTGACACACGCGGCACTAGTGGTAACATTGTGTCTTGTTATTGGAAAATGACTTGGGTGGCGGGGAGCTTCCAATTGTTGATCAAAAAGTTGTTTTTTGAAGTTTGACAAAAAGCCCTTGGAGGCTGATCTGAACAGGTGATGCCAAAACCCTCTTGGGCACTACTTTTCTTCTTTGCAAATGTCATAAATCAATGCGTTAAGTCTTATCAATATAATTTTATGTTCATCTGCTTTGGACAGAGCCTGTTATAATGAATGAGAGCTCTTTCAAAAGGGGCTTATCAAAGCCATCCATTTTCTGTAGCATTGCCCTCATTGGGATCACGGATGAGCTGAAGCCCATCCCAGCTGACTTTTGTATGTTCTTGGAATGTGGGAAGAAGCCAGAGTACCTGCAAAAAAAAAAACAAAAAAAAAACACTGGACAACATGCACATTTCAAACAGGAGGGCCTGAGCCAAGACTGTGTCAACCACTTTGTCACCACGCTGCCACATGCTGATAATTGAGCAATTTAAAAATGCTGGCTACGAGACATTATCAGAGGCTTAACAAACTTATAAACTACCCAATGTAACGCTAATTCCACAGCTCTCCTAAATTAACAGTATTGTGAAATAAAAACTGCGGATTCACCAATTTTTGATTTTTTTTCTTTTTTTTTATTATCCATGTGCCAAAGTTTTGTCTAATATAAATTTACTTCAGTGCCATCTCGTTGCCAAGGAACTATGTTTGAGTACGTTGAAGACATTTATGACTTATTCTGCCAACCTCTTGAGACATCAACAGCAGCTATTAAAAAGTCTACACACCCTTATACACATTTTTTTTTTTGTGTGTGCTAAGAAAAGCCCTAAGATATTTTTGATCTTTTTTCCATCACAATGTGACCTTGAAACTGCACAACTCAATTGAAAATAAGAAAAAGAAATCTGGATATTCAAAGTAAAAACTAACCGAGACAACATGGTTACCCACCTTCTCATAACTGTGGATTTGGCTCTGTTCTGAATTATCAAACACATTCAAACTCATGTTAAATTGGCGTCAACACACAACTGTCACCACTTAGTGTCCTTGATTAATCCCAAATAAAGTCCAGATGTTTTAGTAGGCTTTTCCTGACATTTTTTTTTCTTTATAGCAGAAGCCTTTTTTTATGTTTTGTGCATTTCCCCGCGTCCTCCACCATGATTAAGGTGTGTGTGTGTGTGGTTTTTTTTTTGTGAGATATGGCTTCCATCTTGTCACTTGACCCCACAGCCTCGACATATAAACAAGACGCAAGATGTTGTCATGTAACTAAACAGCCAGTACTTGCCAGAATTTTCTTCAGCTCTTTCAACGGGCTTTTGTTCTTGTTTCCTCAGTTTTGAAGAGAGCAGGGAGGTCTAGGATTTAATGGCAGTGAGATCTTTTTGATGTTGTGGAAGCTCTGCAAACCATGGCTTGTGCTGTTAGATGTGACAATGACAATGTCAGGAAATTTGAAGAGGTGAATTTTATTTTGAGTTCATCACAGGCACATTAAATGGGGGCAGGTGAGTGCTGAGCCCCATTTCAAATGAGTTTGAATGTGTTCAGTTAGTTTGAAACAGTGCCAACCCCGGGTGTTCAACCGCATGATCTCAGTTGTTTTATTTTTACGATTGCTGTCTAAAATATTTCCATCCATCCAGCCATCCATTTTCGGATCCGCTTTATCCTCACAAGGGTCGCGGGGGTGCTGGAACCTATCCCAGCTGTCTTCGGGCAGTAGGCGGGGGAAAACCTGAACCAGTTGCCATCCAATCGTAGGGCACATAGAGACGAACAACCATCCGCGCTCACACTCACTCCGAGGGACATTTTAGAGTGTTCCATTAACCTGCCACGCATGTTTTTGAAATGTGGGAAGAAACCAAAGTACCCAGAGAAAACCCACGCAGGCACGAGCAGAACATACAAACTCCACACAGGAAGGTAGAATGCCCACGACCTCTGCACTGTGAGATCGATGCGCAAACCTCTCGACACCGAGCCGCCCGTCTAAAGTACTTATTTTTAAATGAGGTTGAATAGTTTCTAATGTCACATTAATGCTGGATAAAGTTTTAAAATGATGTATCTTCGTCTCATTTTTTTTAATCACAAAAACCTGGCAATTGAATGGGTGTGCAGACTATTCATATCAACGGTAGATGCTCCTTTAACTGATATTTATTGTGATCCAGGAATTTTCTACAAAAAGTGTTAACGACATTATTTAGCGATTAAGATTTCAAATTACAGTTGAGCAGTATTCCTGACCCCCAAAATTATTTTGCGGTTGTATGCTATGTTTAATTAATTTCTGACTTCTCAGAGAAACACAGTTGGAGTAAAAAACGCTGAGTGCTTATTGAAATGAAAGAACCTCCTGATGCTAGTTAAAAATTTGATGGCAGGCGGTCTTATATGTTTCGCACTGTATCATGATGATTGTTAATAGTCAAAGGCAGGGGTCACCAAATTGATACACGTTTCAAATAACACACAATTTGTCCAAATTTAAAGGTAATTTGTAATTTAAGGGTAATAATATGAGCACTTTTTTTTAATACTTGATGAGTTCAATTTTCAGACTCTGATCATGTTAAAGATGTCTCACAATACTGTTCTACTCTCAAATCCCAAAGTCCGAGCACTGGTGGGCATTCCATGTGGTCCTCACAGGCTACCTGGTACATGTGGGCACCACCTTGATGACCGCTGGTCTGTCAGAGTGTGGGGAAAATTGTTTTCACAACTTGATTTAATTTTCAAGGAAGAAGGTAAGGCGTGATATGGGGGGAGGGGGATTTGTTTTGTTTTTTTGCTTTGCACCTTCTGTTGAGATGAGTAATCACTTTTCATACAACTTGAAACAACATGTCAACAGCGGCAAATGGGCATTTCTTGACAAACTGACTGTCCAAGGTTCAGTATGTCTGTCTGCATCAGTGTCTGGGCTACACTAAAGAGGAATTACTTTTTAGACTGAGAAAACAATTTGAATTGAATTTGAGGATAAAAAGTAACGATTTTTGAGAAAATTTCATTTTCCACAAAAGCAAACTCTCACAAGAATGAAGTCATCCAAATTTTTAAATGCCAGTACTGTTTTACCACCAGGACTGTAATGACAATGTCATACAGTGCATTTGGTCAATACTTGGTGTGCTTTATTTTTTCCACGTTTTATGTTGCGGCATTGTTGTATAAAGGAACAAATATTAAAATTTAGGTTTGTTTTTATATTTGTTTTAAGTTTTTCTTTGTGTTTAATTTTTAGTGGAAAAATCATTTATTCAGATTTTGAATAAGGCTATAACAATAAATTGTGGAAAAAAAGAGTTCTGAATTCTTTGCATGAATGCTCTGCATGAAGTTTTTGGTCCAGACTGTAGACCAGAAACTTCATTCGTACTGACGCTAGAGCAGGGGTCAGGAACCTTTTTGACTAAGAGAGCCATAAAAGCAAAATATTTGGAAATGTATTTCAGTGAGAGCTATATATATATATGAGTGCTGTCAGTTTAGCACGTTATTATCGGCGTTAATTTAAATACATTTTAACGTGATTAAATTTTTTATCGCGAGATTAATGCGGCAACACGTCACACGTTGCTCTATAAATAAACCGGAAACAAAACAACAAGCGCACTGCACAGGTCCACGCCCATGTCTGTTTTGCCAGCCACGGCAGCGCGAGACACGACAAAACGGATACTTAAAGAGTTTATGAATGGAAAGTTTACTTTTAAAAAGTTGCCAGATGGTTCCACTGACAAGAACAAAGTTACCTGCATGTTTTGCAGTCGTAAACTGAGCTATCATCATAGCACGTCAAATCTGAAATACCACTTAACGGCCAAGCACACAGCTGATGTGAGTACTCCGCCCCTTCGTCTAAGACAGACAGCTATGGATAATTTCAAAGCAAAGAAAATGGATAACATGACAAAGAACAAATTTGCTGAAGCCATAGCTAAATGTATGGCTACTGCATGCAAGCCTGTCAACATTGTCCACAGCTAGACTCAAGCTGAAATCATTCGCATTGCATCTAACGACTCCACTACGGATTGCCAGCGAGAGCCTCCATTACAAGCTATGTGCAGAAATTGTACGTCGCGGAGAAGGCAAAGGTACACCAAGCGGGAGAAGACACTGTTTCGGGAAATAAATAAGAGATTAGGTTGATGAGCCTCTGGTGAATAAAGAGCAGGTAGCCTGTTGAGTACGATGTATGCCACTGACGCGATTGTTACTTGTTTGGAACTATTTTGTGTGGAAGGTTACCGTGTTCCGTGTCCATATAAATAAAGGGGGTGGAGCTCCTCTGTGTTCGTCTGACAGTGACGGTGCGCTGAGGCACGTCGAGAGTTCAGTGGTTCAGTGGTAGCGACCACACTGAAAATAAAACGTTTCCAGTTTTGTGCCTCGAAGTGTAGTCATCCGAAATGTCTACACAAAACCATAGAGACTTTCGCGCAAGAAGGACCAACAGAATCAACACAGCCTGACTGCTGTGGTCAAAGCAAACTTGAGGAAAACAAAGTATGCAACCATGGCTTAAATCCACAAGAGGCTGAGTACTAGTTTACCTTAGATGTGCACTTTATAATTTTATATTGCTCTGTTTTGATTTCCTAAAAAGAGCTGTTAAAGGAGCTGTTGTGTGACAAAATATTTTTTTCACTGTTGTTGATGGACAGTAATATTGTGTGAGACATTATGTGTGAATAACTGCTCCAAGTGAAAAATGTTCATGTAAAATTGAAAATCAAAATTGTTGTTTCAGTAAATATTTGCATTTTGCACATAGAAAACTGATTCATGATTCCATGTTGATGAGAGCATTAAAATGGGGAAAAATTAGAAAATATAAAAGGAAATTCAGAAATTATAAAAAATGTGTGAGTAATCATGATTAATTTTTAGTTGAGTTAATTATGACAGTTGCGTTTTTAATTAGATTTAATATTTAAATCGTTTGACAGCTCTAATATAAATACAGTAATCCCTCGTTTATCGCGGTTAATGGGGACGGAAACCACCCGCTATAAACGAAAATCTGCGAAGTAGCGACCCCCCCCATATAGGTATATGTACATGTGTATGAGTATAAAAAATATTTATTTAAATATTTAAGGCCAAATTTAATGGTAAACATGCATGTAGAAGTAAATTTTGTCGTAATTAACATTACTTAATGCTGTATATTAATAGATTTAAACATGTATAAGTTAGGTTAGGTTAGTGTATGAATAACTAAATACAATAAACATATAAATGTAGTGCTGTATGTTGCTCTATGTGACTTGCTGTTGTTTTGCTGACTATCGCTGCTTCTCATGGACCGTTTGCGGACTTAAATTTTTTTTTTTTTTTTTTTTTAATGAATATGTTTGAAAAAATCCGCGATGCACCGAGGCCGCGATTAACGAACCGCAAAATATAGCGAGGGATCACTGTATATTTCTCTCTCTCTCTCTCTCTCTCT